GGGCTCCCATGGGGAGGGTCAAAGGGCACAGAGGCGGACGGCCAGTCGCTGGCGAGACGGCTGGAAACCAGGGGCCTCCGGCTCTGTGGTCTTGGGCAGCCTCGGTCAGGATAAGGTTTGGCTTTGAGACAGAAGCCACCACAAGCCAGGCTCAGACCGCACGGCTGCCAACCTGAGCACACGAGTGAAGGCCCCGGGGTCTGGGTGCCGCGTCCTGCCCGCTCAGGAGAGAGGAGCAGCGTCCTGCAGGCTGGGTGTGGGAAGCCGGTTCAGTCCAGCCAGAGAGCAGGGCAGCCGCTCCTGAGGCGGGGGGAGGAGGGGAGGTACCCCCATCACGTTGTTGGAGGGGCTCCTAGCGTAGGCCTGTGCTGGGACCCCGGCCATCAGGGCTCACCCTGCCCTCAATCCTCATCGGAGCACATGCTCGCTGGACACCTGCCGGCCATCCCACGGTGCACCTGCAGGGCACAGGGCCTCAGCCGGGACAGCGGCAGGCTGGTTGGAGAGACGCAAGCGGGCGACAGTAGGGGTGCTGGGTGCTTAGCCGGCCATGGGGTGGGGGGGCTCGTTCCGGGCACCGGGTCCTCGTCCCTGCTTAATCTCTCGGACAAACATTGCTGGCTTGGGGATAAATCGCGACACAGAAGTTGGTCCTCGCCCCCATGGAGCTCACAGTCTGGAGGGTGGACTTAAAAACCAAGGCTTGTCTGACCAGGAGCATTCAGGCAAGCTCTAGACATCCCTTCTAGGGGACAGGACACACAGGGCAAAGCACTGAGTGTTGCCAGGACCATATGTACAGGTGAACGTGGGGCTTTCTGTGAGGCAACTGGCCCAAATTGTTCAGAAAATCAGCGTGAGGGAAAAAAGCCAAGGGCTCTTCTCTCTTAGAGAGAGCAGAGACACAGCCACCAGTCACAAAATGTGAGCCTTGACAGAGTCTCGGTTGGTAAAAGTTATAAAAGGCATTGGGACACTGAAATGTGATGGAGGACGCAGTGGGACTGGATGTGCTCACGTAAGGGAACATTTTTGTTTCTCCAAGACGCAAGCTGAGGTGTTTAGAGACCAAAGGTCCATCTGCAACTGACTTTCCAAAGTTGGCAACAACTGTGTGCACATAAAAAACACAGCTACACGAAAAGATGGTGGGAGGAAAAAGGCGGCAAAATGCTCAGTCCGCAAACCCGAGGGTTGTGCAGACGCTCCCTGTGCTGTTTAACTTTGCAAAGATGGAAGTGTTTTTGAATAAAACATCGGGGGGCGTCTGGGGGTGCTCAGTTAGTTAAAGCGTCTGACTTCGGCTCAGGTCATGATCTTGTGGTTCATGGGTTCGAGCCCCACGTCGGGCTCTGTGCTGACAGCTCAGAGCCTGGGGTCTGCTTCTGGTTCTGCGTCTCCCTCTCTCTGCCCCTCCCCTGCTCACTCTCTCTCTCACTCTCAAAAATAAATAAATAAAATAAAATAAATTAAAAAAAATTGTGAATAAAACATGTGGGAATGATCACTACCAAGTTGTCTGTGATCAGCTGCACGGGGGCCACGGAGGCAGCCAGGGAGAGAGCAGTGGCCACAGCAGGCGCCCCGACTTGTTCTGGAGGAGGGCCCCCTGGGGCAGGGGCAGGTCAGGCGAAGCCTGGATTTGGGAGGAGAAGCCTGTGTGTCTCTGGCAGGTGGCCTGTGACAGGTCAGCAGGGGCTGTGGTACTTCTGGTACCTGTTCCCTGTGGTGGGGAGCACTCCTGACCCTACCCTGGTCTCGACCCCCTAGCCAGCCAGCCAGAGCCCCCCCACTGCAAAGCAGGTGGCTGAAGCCTTGGTGGGGTGTCGGCGAGAGCAGGCAGGGCTTGGAAAGGCAGGTCTCTTGCTCCCTGGCAGCCGCTGCTCTGGAGAATGAGGCCCTCAACGGGGGCAGGCCGTTCCGGGGCTGTGCCTGCCAGAGTCCAGCTGTCCCCAAGGCACTGGGTGGCCCTTTCAGGATGGTTAGCTTCCATCCTTCCCTTCCAAGCTGGTCCCGGTCACTCGCAGCCTGAGCCGTGGCGAACGCACACGGAAAGGGCACAAGTGGAGGGGGCCTGGCCGGAGGTGTGGAGGCGGGAGTGGTGTCAGCTTGTCCCCCACACCCGTCACAGACAAGGAGGTGCCAGCCTGGGTGACCAGCAGCTAACGCGGGGGTGCAGCCCCGTGACCCCACTGACAGGCTCAAGACCATGCTAAGTCATGGTCTGCTGACAGATGCAGAGTAGTGGTGGGTGGCCGCACAACAGGGACAGTGACGGTGCGTCACCTCACGTGAGCCCACTACACTTAGCATCTGGGCAATTCATAGACACCAACTTTAAAAACTGGATTGGGAAAAAAAAACAAAACAAAACAAAACTGGATTGGGCAAGTGGCCAGTGATTCCTAACCTCAAATGTAAACTAAAACAAGTGATCCTGTCCAGGGACCCTCCCTCCAAAAGGGGCCTGGTGTCCCGACTTGTGTCATGATGCCCATCCTGGTCCCCGTGGCTGGCCCAGCTTGGGAGGGAGTGAGGCAGGGGCCGCGCTGCAGGGAAGGGGCTCCTGAGGCTAAAGATGGGGGATTCCTCGATGTCAGGTAAACGAACCCGAGCTGCATGGGGTCCCAGCTTGTGTGTGTGTGCTTGGAGGGTGGGTTGACCAGGGGCTCCGCAACCATGCTAGAGTGTGCACTCTGTGGTCCCCTCGCCTCCCGGGACCTGCACACTGGGTTGTCTGTCTTCTCCTCTCTGTGATGGTGGCCGCAGTTTCTGGCCCTATTGCTGACCTTAGTCACTCGGTCAGACTCCAGGTCGGATCATTCTGTCGCTTCTTAGAGATGCGCGTTCACCTGGTCTCCTCTGCATGGGCCTTGATTTCCTCCTCTCTGCAGCTTTGGACTGTTTCCCTAGTTCCTTCAGGTGCAGAGTTGGGGTGTTGAGAGCTGTTGGCAGCTAGAAAATTCCCTCCTGTCGCTGCTTTCACTGTTGCCTCTTAATGCCTGCTTGGCTGCAAAGTATCTTGTAATTCGGCTCCGTACTCCTCTGCGCCTTGGACCGTAGCGGTTGTTTGACCTCCACACTCGTTACTGTTCCATAGAAGGTTATGGTGTCCCACCTGAATGCTGTTGGTAACACGCAGCCTTGTCCCGCTGGGCTCAGAGAAGGTACCTCGTAGGATTTCTGTCTCTTTAATTTATGGAGACTTGTCCCGTGGCCTCAGGCAAGGGGTGTCCCCCCCGGGCATTTGAGAAGAGCTGGTGGGTGGTGGTCAGTGCTCTGAGTCCCGCCGGCTTGTTTTCATATTGCACACATGGCAGACATGAGGACATGATGAAGCACGAGGACAGCTGCCACTCACCTGGAGGTCATCACCAGTACCCCCCATGGTGAAGCACGTCGGTGTGCCCTCGCTGTCCCCCGGAACTATAGCGCATACATAGGAGTCCCGTGAAAGGTAGATTTGGTGTTGTGCTTTACTAAAATGGTACGTCCTATGTGAATGATCGCACTTTGCTGTCACCCCACGTTGTTCGAGGGGAGTCCCCACGTGGCCCCGCCCATCCCTTGGGAGGACTGCCTCAGCTCAGGTTTAAGAGTTCTCCGTTCCACCTAGAAGCACCTAGAACACGCTGACAGTGCACGGATGTCCAGCGAGACCACACCCCGCATGGCACCCTGCTCTGCCCCCCCCCCCCAGGGGGACAGCACTCTGGACGGGCCCCTCGTCCCCTGCCATGCTGGGTGGCATTCCCATTCCCTCAGCAAGGAACAGGCTGCAGGCAGACACTAAGGCTCACACCCGGGGTCCCGAGATGTCAACGGCTAAAGCCACCTGGGGTGGGACACCTTCCACCCGAGCTTTCAGCACCCCACCACAGGGTTCAGACCTGCTGTACAGGAAGACCCTCGGGGCCAGAAGGAAAGGGCCACCCAAGCAGCTGGCAGACGGAGGGGCCTGCAGGACCCGGGAGCCCAGGACCACCCTCCATGAGACGCCTGGGGCTGGTGTCTAAGGCCCCTCCTGAGGCCCCTGGCTCCCTACCCCAGGCACGTCCACGCACAGTGACATGGTGGCAGATGTGTCTCCTGGCCCTGGTGGCACCTCACAAAATAGTTCTCCAGCTGAGGCCAACTTGGAAAATTCCAGAGACCAGGAAATTTACCGTGAGGCAGGAACAGCCGGGTCTTGGCTTGGAATGGAGCCCTGCCCACGTGAGGAACACGGGCAGGGCACAAAGGAGGGACTGGCCAGGCCCACCTTGAGGGAGTCCTTTAATAGAGACTGGCAGACAGGGGACACGACTGGCCCCCCCTCCCCCACCCGGCCTGGCCCCGGGGTGGACGTGGGAGAGGCAGTTTTAAAAAACACAGCGGGACCAATTTTTCACGTTCACGGAAAAGGGGTACTCGGGCAGCCCGCTGGAGTCTGTACACAGAGCTGGGTCTGGGCACCCACCCCCGGGGAGATCGAAGCTCACGGCCATCTGCCCCGCTGTCTGCACCCAGGAGAGGCAGGAGCCCGCGGGGTCCCCGGCTGCTTGCCCAGAGCTCTTAGTGTTTCTACACTATGTACATTGTTGTGCTTTGGACCTCCTACCCCATGGCCCTGGCCTGAGGCTTCGGGTGGGAAGACGGACCCGCTCCCACTGCGAGCTCAGGCTCAGGACAGGGCCGCCCTGCTCCTCGCCAGGGAGCCACAGGGTCACTGCAACAGAAGGGTCAATGCTGGACAAGATGCAGGCTGGTGGGAGCAGGCGGGGTTGGGTCCAGGGGCGAGGTTGGGGATACAGGTGTGTATGGATGGGGCCCAGCTGGGGTCGGGGGCAGCAGGTGGTGGATGGGGTGGGGCTGAGCTGGGCGGGGGCGGGGTGTCTGAGGTCCCCTCCCACCCAGCGCAGCTGCCTCCACAGTCCGAGGGGGGTGGTGGGCAGGTGGCTGGGGCAGGGTGTGGTGGCATCTGCGGGTGTGTCCCCGCCAGCTGGGCGGGGGCGACAGGATCAGTTGTTCTCGAAGAGAGAGAGAAGGTCATCATTGCTGTTTGTGGGAAGGTCAGGTGGGCCAAGGTAGGACAGCAGTTCTTCGGGGTTGTTCAGTTCTGGGAGCAGCTGGGAACAAAGCAAAGCCATCAGCAGCTTTGGCCTCAGGCCCACCACACCCCTGCAGGGGACCCTGTGCCTGAGCCCCTCAGCCTGCACGGGGCTCTCCCTGCCGAAGGCTGCTCTTTGACCAGGAATCACTCCATACAAGTTGTCCAAGGACAACCTGGGACACAGAGCGTCTGCCCCAGGGGGCATGCACGGGGCCATGTGGGGACCCCGATGTGAACAGAGCAAATGCAAGAAATGGGGTTTCCAGTGTCTGGGATATTCTGCTTTGAGCTGCTCTAATTTTCTCCCGCTGAACTTCAGGGTGTTCGGTTTATTAGAGAGAAAGACCGTTACCTGCAGTGCACGCACTGATTTTGGCTCACGCGACACCTGTGGGTCAGCTCAAACCACACCGAGGCCAGTGTGGTCCTCTGCAAGCCCAATCTTCTTGGGGACTCTACACAGGTTCCTGTAGCCAACTGCCTGGACAGAGTCATCCCGCGGCTACTCAGGTACCTGACACTCATCATCAAAAGAGCTGACGCTATCTGACCAGCTGTCCTGGCTTCGAGGTCACTAGGGCGTCAGTGTCCTCCCTTCTATGAAGCATGTGGACCCTGGGGACGACGGACACACCGTCCCCAGCCCCAGCTCCCATGCGCTCCCTGGCATGGGGCCTGTACTCACGTCCAGGGCTGGTTCCGGGGCCTCCCCCGCCCCAGACATGGGGGGCCCCATCACGCCTGTGGCAGTGCTGAAGGCCAACTCGCCGATGGGGCCTGAGCTCACTGGGCCCAGGGGCTGCCGGGATGCTGGGGGAGGGTTTGGATGGTGCAGCTGGGGCCCTGGGGCCCCTCCAAGGCTGGAGGCGAGCAGCCCTGGAGCCCCTGGGTTGTGGGCAGGGTCCAGGTGACCCGCTGGCGGCATCTGGAGAAGGAGAGAAGAACCAGGTAGAACAGCTCCTGGTCCCCTGGAGCTGGCCCTCCGCCCCACAGCTTGCACTGACCTGGCCTGGGAGGCAGGGAACAGACTTCTCAGGTGTCAGGAGGCTGCTAGGAATGTCGGACTGGTAGGAGCTGGGGGGTGGCCCTGGGGTGAACTCAGGAAGGGCCGGGGTGCTGGGCGTGGCAGGCGGGAAGGACTCAGGGAAGGTCCCGGGTCCCAGGAAGCTGGAACCTGAGAGCAGAGCCCATGTTGGGTGAGGCCTGGGAGCTTGCACTGGGGAGAAGCCGGGGGGTAAGGGGGGCTGGCGGCCCAGGCTCCCAGTGCTCTCCGCAGGTAGCTCTGGGTTTTACAGAAAAGAGCATTTCCTTTCATCACAAGGGAACGGGCCTCACCCAGCCACACCCACACATGGGGTCAGGTGGGGCCGGGCCCCCAGCGGGCCAGCAGAGAGCCTCCGTTCCCAAATGCCGGGCGCCCCTGCCCGTCCCCATGGCGTGGCCACACCTACCCCACCAGGTCCCCAGGAGGCCCCCCCAGGCACAGGGCCCGCAGCAGACTGGTCTGGAGAGAGCAAATCACTGGCCCGTGGCACTCACCCTGGCCGGGGTAGTCACCAGGGGCTGGGGCCGGGGCCGAGGGTGGCTGCAGGGGGGCGAAGGGGGCAGCGGCGGGGCCCAGGGCTGCTATCATCTCCATCACGCTGGGCATGAGCATATGTGCGGGGCTCACGGTGCGACAGCGCTTCAGCACTGGCCCGTCCGGCTCTTCCTTGACGTGAACGTCGGGCTTTACGGGCACCGGCTTCCAGCTACACGTGGGGTCGATGGTGATCTCCTCGTAGTCAGAACTGGGCAGGGACACATGGCTGGTCACCAGCTGTCCTTGCCGTCTCTCTTGGCCCCTGGCCCGCTTCTAAGCAGACCTCCACTCCAACGCCTGTAGCCGCATGGCCCATCACACAGGCCCCGTGGGCGGCCGGGCCCGGTTGGATGTGGGTTCCATCTGCGGCCGGAATCAGCCCACCCCGTGGCCGAGCTGTCATAGGGCCACCGGCGGCGGGACGGCACGAAGACACTTACTTCTGAATGTGAACGAGGACGCCCAGCACATACTGGTCCACCTGCAGGCCCTCCAGCAGCGCTGTCTTGCTGTAGGAAACCAAAGGCATGTGGCTCAGGGGCCTAGCCCGACCTCGCCCCGGCACACTTCTCGGCTCTCTCACCCTGCTTGAGGCCACATGGCATGAAGTGACCCCGCATGCGATGACCCCGTGTACACAGACCCCACAAAAAGCTATTCTGAGATGATCTCAGAGATGACCACGCACAAAGCGACTGTGCGAGACTTGTGCCCTGAGCCGCACCGTCCTCGTCTGCTCTGTGACCCCCTAAACCTGGGGTTTTGTTGGTCCCCGTGCCTGGGATCCCAGGAGGACTGTCTGGGAGACACTCACTTGCACACAGGGCACCGCCAGGTCCCCCGCTCACAGTTGAGCTGCAGGTAGGACTCCAGATCGAAACACTGCGGGGAGCAGGAGAGATGGCTTCTCACGCGGGTGCCGGGGGCAACCGGGCCGCACTCTGCGATTGAGCCTTGTGGTTTCGGGCTGAGTTACGTGAATGTTGAGAAGCCACGTGGGCCAGGCTTGCCCGGGCCACCATGCTAAGTGCTTGGCCCTGGGGGCAGCCGGGAGAGCACAGCCCTCGTGGGACTAGAGTGCCTTGTGGCCAAAGAATAGGGTATCTGTGCTGGCAAAGACCCGCCTCCGGGACACGGTGCTGAAGGGAAACTAGGGCCGGGGTCTGTGCGTGCTGCTCCTGGCCAGGGCAGGAAGACCCCACCCGCCACCCTGACGCCTCTTGAGATGTGACACGAGAACGCAGGAAACCATGGGGTGCGCTCCAAGAAACCAATGCCTGGTCTGGGGAGCACGTGGGGGACGGTCTGGTGAGTGCGTGGGGGCCGGTCTGGGAAGCACGTGGGGGAGCCGGCTACCCGCCCGCTGGCTGGTCACCTGCTGGTGGAGGGTCCGCGGGAAACCGCTGCACGTCACAAGTTCTGGACCACCCACCTGTATGTGGCGACAGTCATGGCCTCGGGCGGGGAGCTGGATCCTGCGGAATGTGATGGGGCACCTGAGGGACACCTTGATGGCTGTCTGCTCCACCCCGTCCTCACCGTTGGGCCCAGGGGTGCCGGGGACGGTGCCGCTGCTGAAGTTGCGTTTTACTGGCATGCACGGGGAGAGGACTCGAGTGAGGGGCTGCTAGCTGGGCCGGCCGCTGCCCCTACCCCCCGAGTCCCCAGCCCCGGCAGATGTGGGGGTGTGCCATGTGGTGGCTGGTCACCGGGCGGCCACTCACTCTTGGTGATACAGTGCTCCGCGGGCAGGAGGCGCTTCCTGAGGAGGCCCTGCAGCACCGAGCGGACGGACGGCCGGTGCACCAGCTGCAGCACGAACAGGTGGGACTGCAGGAGGTGAGGAGGGTCAGGGGCGCGGCCCACACCCCCACATCCCGCACTAGCTGTCTGTCTGCGGCCTGTCAGAGCACCGACCCCCAAGAGCCCCCCTGCACGCCCTGCAAACTGCACCTTGGTGTCTGTGCAGGGCCTGGGCCTGCCTGGAGTCCCCAGCCGGGGAGGGTTCAGGTCAGCCTCCCGCTGGGGAAGGACAGGCCGCCATCTTGTAGGGAGTAAGCCAGAGCGCCAGGCCCCGGTGAGCAGGCCTCACCAAGGAGGAGGGAGGTCCCCTCTCTCGGCAGGGGCTGGGGTCGGGGGCAAGCACAGCCAGGCCCCTGCAGGCCTAGGAGGCACTCACGCAGCAGCAGGCTGTGACCGTGATCTGGATGGTGTTGCGGCCCGGCTGGCACACGTGCTTCAGGTACAGCGGCTTGTGGGAAGTCTTGTTGTCGCCGCGCTCGATGGTGAGCGGGGTGGCGTTGACGCTGACCTGCACCGACGCCGGCCAGTTGGTGTTGGTCTGCCGGTCCTCATGGTGATAGCACTTGAACTGCAGCTCCAGGTCTGGCCTGCGAGGGGTGGGCCGCTGAGCAGGGGATGCAGGGCGGGGCTCGGTACAGAGCCACAGTGGGGATGGGGCAAGAGGGCGGGGCCCTAGAAAGGGGCAGCTAGGCAGGGCCACAGGGCAGGGCGGGACCTCTGGGAAGGGGGCTGCAGGGTGGGGTCACACTGTGTGGCGGAGCCGGGCTCCAAGCCGCTGAGATGTGGCTGAGGGGCAGGGCTTCATGGAGTGGGGCGTGGGTGGGAGGGAATATCTTGAGGTGGGACCTCACTGTGGGGCGGAGGCACTGAACAGGGGTCTCTAGGCGGGGCCACACTGGGGGCGGGGCCTCTGAGAAGGGTCAGGCGCTGGAGGGGGCTGCGCAGCTAGGCGGGGCCGCAGGGCCCGCTCACCTCAGCATCAAGGTCTTGTAGACAGAGTCCCGGAGCTGGAACGCGTGGTTGCTCACAGCCAGGTTGTGCTGCAGGCGGAAGGGCTCCAGCACTACCCCGTCCCGCACCGGGAAGGTCAGCCGCAGCTCGTCACCCGGGCCGCTGCCTGCGACACGCTGCTATGAGCCGGCCACCCCTGTGGCAGGTCCCCTCATCCTCCCGCTCGGGCTGGTGTGGGCGGCATCTCCCCCGGGGTCCTGGGCCCGGCTATCACCCCCAAGGGGAATAGGATCTTGGTTCTGTCCTGGTTCTCCCGCTGTTCTGTCCTGCCTCAGTCACCTGGCCCCATGTCCCCTAAGTTATGCCTGGAGAACGTGCCCCAAACCCAGAAAAGAGGGTGCTCCTTTGCTTTCAGAAGGGGTGTGAGGCTAAGAAGGTGTGAACGGACCACCTGCCATCATCCTAGCGCTTGAGCTAGGGTTCTAGGACCCCAGCTTCTGTGTGGTGGTCTCCCCCAGAGCATGGGTCTCTTAACCAGGAGTGGACCTCAGGAGGCCCATAAATCCCCTGAAATTATACACAGAACTTTGTGTGTGGGGGTATTTTTCTAGGGAGGAGATCAACACCTTGAACGGATGTGCAGAGTTCTAGGAGCACAAAATGAAACTGAGGGCCCCCCACCCCCACATTCCCTGCAGAACTCTGGGGTCCTGGGACCCCCGCCCAACCGTCTTAAGAGCAGGTGACACTCACTGGGGGGTGATGGGTGCAAGGAGCTCACGCTGGGCTTGAGGTCCGGCAGGAAGGGCGATTTGACCTCCTGGCTGGTGGACATGTAGGGGACGCTGCTGCCGGGGGTCATGGGTGGCGTGGGGCTCCCAGGCAGTGGGGAGCTGGGGTAGCCAGGGATGGAACGGGTGGGCTGTGGGGTTGAGCAAACAGTCAAGGTGGGATGGTGGGGGGTGGAGTTTGTTCTTGAAGCACCCGCTGGGACCAGTCACAACAGAAACGGGCAGGGGTATCTGGCTGGCCACCCGCACTTCCTCCTGCTTGGGTGCCCTCTGTCCATGTGCCCACCCTGAGAGCCGCCCACCCATGTGCCCGTACCCCACTCAGGCCGGACTGGCTGTAGCTGACGCTTCCCCCGTTGAAGTTGGCACCCTGCCCGTTGAACTGCTCTGTGGGCTGTAGGGAAAACACGGTGTGCGCCCGGGGCCCCAGCCTGCCCGCCGCTGGGCCCCTGAACCTGACTCAAGGAGTGGGCTGGGAGCAGGGAGCCCACCACACACATGGCACTAGCCTGTTTTCTCTGTACACTTTTGAAGTTTACCATGTGATCTGCAGGGAGCACGTATCATTGTGTAATTAAAAAAAAATTGCTACTATAGAGAACAAGATGACCCCATGTGTCAGAGGGGTTTTGGGAGAGCCACAGAGAGGCTGAAAACACCCCCCCCCCCCCCCAGGCCTTGCTGGGCTTCTCCATGGTGAGTGGAGGGAGTGGAGACACTTTTCCACAATGAAATTCAAGTGACTTGGGGGCCTGCCTACTGCTCCCTACACCCACTTTCCAACAAGATAAAGATATATGAATTTCTGAGGGTCCTTTCAGAGCTGGATCCCTGCCCTAGTCAGGAACCCTGTGAAGCTCCTGGCTTCTTGGTCACCCTGAGTGCACAGGGCCCAGCAGGAGCTGTGTCGGGCCCGGAGGAGCCATGCCTACCTTGTAGTGCAGTCCTGCTGGGCCAGAGGCGGACAGGGACTGGCCCACACCCTGCTGCAGGGGCAGCCGGTGCCCAGGGTAGGAGGACGGGGCAGGGGGCGGCCCGGCACCAGACGTGTACTGGGTGGCACTGGGTCCGTACTGGCTTCCTGGCAGGTACTGCTGTCCTGGATAAACCTGAAAGAGGCACCATGCCAGGGGAACAGGTGTCGGGGAAGCCAGGTCCCAGGGAGGATGTGGTGCCCGCTCCATGAGGCGTGGCCGCTTCTCTCACACAGATGCCCAACCTCACCATGGGTCTGGGTGGAGCTCAGGATGAGGGAGGAATGGACACTCACCTCGCTGGAGTAGGCTCTCTTGACCCCCTGTCGGGGCAGTGGCTGGGCCTGGGGAGGCCCAGGGTACCCGTGCTGGGGCAGGCGCTGCCCTGCATAGAGGGGTGCCATGCCTGCTGCCCGGGTGGGGTTCATGCCCATGGGGTTCATGCCAGAGGGGCCCAGCAGCCCTCCCACGCTGGTGGGGTTCATGCTGCCAGGGACGCTGGGCCCCCGGGGACCTCCATGCTGCAGGAACTGGCTGTTAAAAGCCTGCCCAGCCCCCATCTGGGGAGAAAAGAGAGGAGCCATTCAGTACCCCCACCACTGTGGGTGCTGCCCAGTTGCCCCCTGCGCCCCCTCAACCCCCTCGTCTCTCTGTGTGCACATCCCCAGTCCCCAACCCCAGCTGCCCGACTGGTCCCTGCCTTCCAGACCAGCACATGTGGGCTGCACAGGAGGAGCGGCTGGGCCTCACCGCTCCGTACTGGCTCAGCTCCTGGCTCTGCTTCTCCTGGAGGGCGGCCACGGTGGCTGTGGCGGTGGCCGTGGCGGTGGCCGCAGCAGCAGCCACTGCAGCTGCTGCTGCCGCCTGAGTAAAATCGGTGGAGGGTCGTGTGGCATGTGAGGGCAGACCCAGGCCCCCTGGCCCCCCCGGGCCGCCCGCATACCTGTGAGAGACACAGATGGCTTGGCTCAGAAGTGCTTCCCTGCCTGTCGCCCGGGGGCCACATAGCACCTGCCGGGGCCCCCTTCTTGTCTAGATGCTCCAGCGTCAGCCGTGGGAGCCCGCAAGAGCATCACACTCACAACAGTCAACAGACTGGTTCACATGGTCCCAGGCACCTGCCAAACCAGAAGCTTTGCACCTGGAGGACTCCCAGCACACCTCACAGGTCAGGGGTCCTGCTTACCCAGCCGTGAAGCCAGGGCCCCCTGGGTAGCCCCCGCGGCCATACACTCCTTGCTGCACGAAGCCCTTGTTGGCAGCGCCCTCGCCAAACGCCTGCTGTCCGAGGCACTGTGCGGAGTTCAGGGCAGGGCCACCACCTGCCACACCAGGCATTACAGAGCTGCCGGGGGGGCTCCCTGCAGGGCCCATGGGGTTCCCCAAAACCTGCGAGGAAGCAAGAATTGCCAATGGGAATCATCCAAACAACTCACTTCCTGCAGTTGCTCTAAAGGGCTACAAAGGAGAGGCCTGCCAGTGAGGGGCTGGGGGCAGAGGTGAGGGAGGAAGGAGGGGAAGAGAGGAGGGGTGCAGAGGCCCAAAGACGGGGGAAGAAGTCCCACACAACATGTGGTGGGGGGACTCGTCTACAAGGATGGGGCAGACTTGGAGAGCCCAACCCCATTTCTGTCTAAGGTCTAGGGGGGCCCTGGCAGCTCTCGGGGGTGGCCCCACTGCAGGCTCACCTGACTCTGTGCCGCGTTGCCGACGCCCCACACGGTTGTGACGACAGACAGCGACCCTGCTGGCTGAGTGGCGCTCTGCTGCCAAGGTACCGGCTCATAAGCAAATGGACCATCACTGCAAGTAGACAGGTGGGTGGGGAGGCCCAGGTCAGGAGGCCACGGGTGTCGAGACCCCTGGCTGGGGAGGCTGGCAACTGGGGGCGGAGAGGTCCTGCCCTGCCACCCCGCCCGTACCCGAGGCCTGAGAAGGGAGGGCGGCAGGAGACGCACTCACCCGTGCGGTGTGGGGGGCAGGGCGGGTTTTACGGGGTGCATGGGGTTCATTGGCCTCGGGCAGCCTAAAGGCCGGGTCTGCGGGTGGCAGGAAGTAGTCCTCACAGCTGTTTACGTGGGACTCGGCTGGTCTGGCTGTGGGGACAGAGGAGGACGTCAGTGGAGATGCAGTGGCCGGGGGCTGTCGGTGGGGTGCCGGGAACCCCCAGCACCAGGCCCCCTTGCTCTGCTCTAACTGATGGAGGGCCGGGCGACAGCGGGGTCTGAGGGCCACTGTGGGGGTGGGGGCAGCCTCAGCCTGAATTGCCCACCCTGACAAACCTCTGTCCTCTCCCCCTAAAGCCAGCCTGGAAGCCAGCATTAACCCTTTCAGGCCAGGCCCTGCTACTCACAGCCCCTGAAATAGAGCAGGCTTTCTGACCCAGATCCTTTTCACACGCCCCTCCCTCAAGAAGGCCTGGATATCCATTAAAGTCAGGGAACTCCCAGGACCCAAGTGCCAGAATCCCCCAGGTAGGCCCCAGGGTGGAGGCCAAGGCCAGAGCCAGCAGAGAAGAACAGAGGAGGACCAGCTGGCGGCCACCTTCTGCTCAGGCTCTGAGACTTGCCCACTCTGGGGAGAGGGCTCTGCTAAACAGGGCTGAGCAAGGTCAGCCAGCTGCCGGCTTCACCCTGGCCTGGGGAAGGGAGTACAGGTCACCTGCGTGCTCCTGGCTGACAGCCCCTCGAGGGCTGATGTGGGCACAGGGCCAGGCGGACCTGACCCCCCACAGGCCACGGTGACACCCACTGAGAGGTCCCCAAAGGGGAGGGATGCACACATGGAGCAATGGGCAGGGGGTTGGTGCGAGCCCAAGGGCATGTCAAGGGGCCAAGGGGAACACGGCGGCAGTGGCTGGCAAACTTTCTTGGGACCCATGTGCCCGTGCAGGGGGCATCCTCCTACTGTGTGAGGCTCACCGCCCCCTCCAACTGCTGTCTCAGAAAAATGAGGGAGGGAGGGAGGGCCAGGCACTCACATCCTCCAACACCCCCAAAAGCAAGCCCAAGCCCTTGTTGGCACCCCCAGGGGCATGCTGCACACCTACGTCTGCCTGACCCAACCACAGAGGCGCACTGGCTGTGGTTCTCAGGGGTCCCCGGGAATCCCAGGTGGGGGGACTCTGCCCTCCTGGTGTCCAGGTTCTGTCCTGGAGCACCAGTGCCTTTTAGGGGCTGCAAGCCCCCCCCCCCCCCCACAACATGCACACGTGCCACCCTGGACAAGCTAATGTGTGGTGGCTCAACCCAGACACCCCAGCACTCACAGCACCTCCCTCTGGCCTAGGAGTGAGAAAGTCGCCCCAGAACCCACCCAAGCCCGTGACTCACATTCCTGAGTGCTGACCAGGGACCTCAACGTTACCATGTCGTCTGTAAATAGTCCTGGAGGTGCGTGTGGGGGGACCCTCATCAGGGACCCAGAGCAGGGAAGGGGTACAGTGGGAACTGTGACACGGGTGGTTCTGCCTTCGGCCCTTCGTGCCACTCAGCACTGAGGTAAGTGGGTCCCGGAGCCGCAGCAGAGCCGGGGCTGGGGCAGAACAGTTGGCAGGTCTGCTTCCTACCTGGCTCTGCTCCCCCTCTGAACGCTGTTCTCCCCTGCCACCCAGACCAGGTCCCACTCTGGAAACAGAGGCCAGAAAATGCAGGAGTCAGTGGGTCCAGAAGGCTGTGGCCCCAGGAATCTGGGTACACACAGGCCTGCGAGCCAGGATCACCCAGCCAGGCTGGTGTCCTCGGTCCCTACCGTCCAACTCCAGGACGGTGATGCGGCCACCGTGGATATGGATGGGTGGACCTGCCAACCAATGGACCAGACCACAGAGGGCACAGACCAGGCACCGGAGGAAACCAGCATTGCAACGCGGGGCTCCCACAAGCGAAACCAAAAGTTCTAAACTTCACATCTTGTGCAAAAATTAACTTGAAATGGGCCACGGATGTAAATGAACAACAGAAAATGACAAAACCTTTGGAGAAACTCTTCGGGACCTGGAACCAAGAAAAGAGCCCTTAGATGTGACACCAGTGCAGTCCTCACAAGGGAGAGGGGGAGTCATCTCAGAAAGGCCCTGCTGATGCAGAGTGACAGGTATGCCCGCAAGTCGCATCTCTGACGAAGGACTAGTATCTAGGATATATAAAGAATTCTCAAAACTCAAAAGAAAAATAAACACCCCAGATAGAAAATGGGCAGAGAACACAAAGAGACATTTTAGCAAGGAGGTCGTCCGGACGGCATGCCAGCTCAGGAAGAGACAGACATCCGACGTCATGGCCACCGGGGACGTGCAAACTAACACCACACGGAGGCATCGCTATGCACCTATCAGAGTGGCTACAACAGTGACACCACCAAGTGCTGGGGCTGGGGGGACTGGGGGGACTGGATCTCCTACCCACGGCAGGTAAGACTGGAAAATGGCGCGGCCACTCTGGAAAACAGTCTGGCAGCGTCTTGTGAAAAGTCGGCACACAGCTACCGGGCAACCGGGCGACCGCACTCCTCTTCGAGACATGCAAGCTGAGGTTCACAGAAAACTATGCGCGTGTCTACACCAGCTTCCTCCTAGCAGCTCAAGAACGGCCACCCAGATGCCCTTCGGGTGAAGTTAGCCAGCCGTGGGGCATCCACAGCCCGCAGGCATGAAAAGGAAGAGCGAGCAGGAATCCCCAGAGGATCGAGCCGTGGAAAAAGCCAGTCCCCGAAGGTTACACGCGGTATGATTCCCTTTATGTAACGTTCCTGAAATGATGAAATCACAGAAGCGAGGAGCAGAGCCCAGCTGCCAGGTGGGGAGGAGGGAAGCAGGTGCGAACAGAAGAAGGTGCGGAAGGAGAGATGTGCATCTGGCCCGTATTCCCGGAGCATCCCGGTGTGACGTGCCCGTCGTCTGGTGAGACGTCACCGCCAGGGGAGCCAGGAAAAGGATACAAGGGTGATTTCTCACAGCTGCACGTGAATCCGGAATTCTCTCAGAATACAAGTTGACTTGAAAAACCACCACCACCACCCGTGGTCTCCACAGAGAAGCCCCCGGCAATGCTCCCTTAGCCCAGGCTGGTTGGGCTGGCCGGGCCCACTCAGCTGTCCCAGAAGCAGGGGGGAGACCAGCCCCCTGCCCGGTGCAGAGCCCCAAGACTGCAGGTGCTCCACTCTGCTCCGGGCCTCCTGTCTGGCACATCACACTCACCTGGAGGGCGGGGGCCGGAAGACTCCTGTTTCTAAAGAGCTTGTGGGTCAGGGTCAGGCTGCTGCTGACGCAGGGACCCCAGTCTGAGAGCCCCGGAGATCCGGGGAGGAGGGGGCAGGGCAGGGGCCCCAGGAGGCCTCCTACATCACCCCCAAGACTTCTCTGCCACGGACGAGACCACAGACGGTTCCAGTTCCCCCTAAGCCTCCTGCACGCCTGGGTGCTTGGGTGTATGTGTGACTTCCTGCCAAACTGAGTCTGCTCTCCTCCCTGAGAAGACCCAGACTCTCCGAGTGGGGCACCCCACAACCCGCTGCTCCCCACAAATGGACAGGTGCCCTCTGAGTGCAGACCCTCCTCCCACTTCCTGGCCTTGAAGACAGAGCCAGGAAAACCGGTGCGGGCCCATGGGGCTTGTGCCCCAGTGCCAGCTGGAAGCCGGGACCCCTTGGCAGAACTGCCCTGGTTCTGGTTCTGTGCCCCATCTTTCTCCAGAAAACTCACCACTCAGGCCCCCTGCCCCAGGGCCTCAGAGCAGCTGCGCCCAGGCTCCTGCGTGCCAACCAAAGGCAGACGTTAATGTGGGTCAACCTCTTCCACTCCACCCTGTCCAGGCCGCCTGGTCACCCAGGGGCGGCACGCCCCATGACAAGCCACCTGACCCTAGGAGGGCAGGCCTACTCCACGGTCACAGAGCAGGGAGCCCATGGTTCCAGGGTGAGTCCCCAACCGGAGGGACACCAGGGTCAAATGGGCTCAGAGGAGGTAGAAATGATGGCTCCAGTGAGCGCGACGGCACAAGGTGGGGACTCAGGTGTTCTGGTGTCTGCAGGTCCTACCGCTCTACATGTGAGGCCCCAACACTGACCAGCTAACTAGAGTCGTCCGAACACCCAGGAAGGAGCATTTGTGAATGGCCCAGACACCGGACACATCAGAGACCAGCTACAGGGTTTCACTACTCTGAGCCTCGGTTTACAATGTGTAAAATGGGTACGTGGTAGCCACCCCAGGACTGAGGAAAGAGGAAGACACATGACTGCATTTATGCCAGCAGCCCTGACTGCTGTAGTGGAGGCAGCCACCAGTGGACACGCCATGGGGAAGCCTGGCTGCCCTTGGAGTCCTCCCCAGGCACACCCTGCCTGTCCTTCATCATCTCCT